GGTCAAACTTTGAAATCTTTAAGCCTTTAGGCTTCTAGTTTTTGCCAACTAGCGATAATTCAAGTTAGGGACCTCCAAATTAAATTTCGGGCATACGCCCAAGTCCCAAATCACGATACGGACCTACCGGAACTGTCAAAATACTGATCCGAGTCGTTTGCTCAAAATATTGACCAAAGTCAACTCAGTTGAGTTTTAAGGCTCTATTTTACATTTTAATCAATTTTTCACATAAAAACTTTTCGAAAAATTTTACGAACTACGCACGCAAGTTGAGGAATGATGAATAGCACTTTTTGAGGTCTTAGAACACAGAATTAATTATTAAATTTAAAGATGACCTTTTGGGTCATCACAATTATATAAGGTAAAATCTTAATAGAATTTATGGTCCTAAATATTAGGATTTTTTATTTAACTCAAATAAGGAAAGATTTAATAACCACAATTTTAGGTAATTTCAGATTCCTAAATATTAGAAAAATAATTTAAATTATAATTTTGTCCTATGTGAAATCTATTTTAAGGGGTAAAAATGACGAACGACATTTCGTTAAAGGCCTTCGTGCTTTTAATATAATATAGATAGATATGTTAATATACTTAGTTATGAATATAGCGCCTATTTTTTAAGACGAAACAATTTACATCCTTGCAAACTAAAACTATTAATCAAACTGATATTTATGTAGAATTGGCATAATATGAAGGTGTAAGTATTTGATTTTGAAATACTTCAAAAGTTATTGCGAGTTAAACTATCAAAAAGGGGGTAAGTGCACCCGCTATTTAAGTTAGAGAATTTAACTTAAATTACCACCCGTAGTCGAAAAAATAGTCAAATGTATATATTGTGTATAATTAATGTATAATACAAGAGAATGTTATTATTTTTTATCAAACGGTCAAATATGTAAGTTCCCTAAATTATTATCTATGTTTATAAACTTTTGTAATTTAATCGCTTCAGGATTAACTTCAAACTTGTTGGATTGAAGTTGAAAAACTTCAGATCTGAAACTTAATACATCCGTCTGAAGTTTACAATCACTAACTACAAATATACTTCGGAAAAATTAGATATAATTAAATAGCACATGTAAAATAAGCTACCAGGTACAATTCCTTCTCCAGAAAGTGATGCTTACACGTCAACAACATTTGGCAGAGAGATCTAAATGCTTACAAAAGAAGATCGTGAAATGATATTAATTGTTTCCATATAAAACGAGTAATTAAGATCGTGAAATGATATTAAGTGTCAATTAAAATTTTCAGTATAAAATTTCTATTGAAGTATACATGATTTTAAATATATCAATGTGATATGACAGTTTTTTTTAATTATATCAAACAAATAAGTTTTACTTTTTTACGATAAATTTTGTTTGATATTGGCCGCGCATATATGAATATTAGTAATCTCAAAAAGAGCAAGGCAACAATAAAAACCTCATACTCTAATTATATAGAGCAACAAAAGGCTAGACTATAAAGTGTGCAGGAGTTTCACTTGTAAAAGTTTAGGCTTTATATATTGTGATTGGGTTTTCTATTTTAGCTATGGATATTTTTTTCAAATTTTATTTTCACATTAAAAGTAGCTATTTTTCAATTATATTTCAAACGGCGGCTAAATAATAATTATCACGGACAACAAAGAGTGAGATTTTTTTATAATATGAACAAAATCTTCTATGTTCATAAAGGGCCACCAAAGAAATTTTAGGATTTAATTTGTCAAAATTCATAGGATCACACAAAGTATGAGATTTTCTTTAGGATCACATAATGTAGGGCAAAAAAAAAAAGGGAAAATAGTGAGAATTTGACTAGAATCAAAATGTTATTTGTGGACTTTTGACCACTACTTTTCCACACTATTGGCTGGCTGCACTTCTGTCTACTACTTCTTTAGTTTTACTCTTTTGCCTTGTTGTTAGAGAATAATTCAAGATTTAATTTATACACAAATATTATAAGATTTTTTTACATTATGAGTAATATAATTTTAGCCAATGATAGCAAGTCTGTTACCAATTTTGTCATATTACTAATTAATATTTATCAAGAGATTTACTCGTATTTGCTTAATAAGTAATCTAATGATATACAATATTTCTTATACCGTGAGTGTATATAGTTAACAACTACCAAGTCTACTGTATTAGTCAACTCAATTGACAAAAATCTATTCTTGATTTCGAAAGATATTGATATAAAAAACAAAACCACTTTTAACTTACAAATTAACTTGAAAACAGAGATGAGTGATCAAAATAAACACTCATCTTCTCCATCATCACTAAGGTCAATATCTGACTATTATTCTTACAAACACATGTTATGTAACAAAGTCACTACAAACAGAGGCCATTCAAACTTTAACTCAATTCCCAAAAATGGAAGACGAAAATGATGCAATAACAAGAGCATATCATTCATCACATAGCCAAATTCAAGAGAATTTGGCACGAGATTATCGATTAGCTACACAAAAGGCTACTGCATTCAGAAGATTTATTAGATCAAATTTAGTTCCAATATTAGCTCATAAACAAAACATGTTGAATAGATCCATAACATTTTTCAAGAACTTGTATTTGATGAGGAGGCAAGAACAGATTCAGGTGAAAAGCACTCAAGTTCATCACATGATTTCGGAGAGAAGAAGACGCGAAAAACTTAATGAGAATTTTCAACAACTGAGATCTTTGCTCCCTCCTGGAACTAAGGTATCATTCATTTTTACACTATAAGACTCTTAAAAAATAGTATTTATATTAATGTTACTATATATGGATTATTCTAATATTAGCAGATTAAATGAAATAAATACTAGTACTAGAATTTAATAGTAACTCTGTTGCCCTTCAACAACTCTGCCACACCCCTAAAAAGAGCACTTCTTAACCAATGTTGTAGTTGTCATGAATATGAAAATTATATATACCATCAAATTATGAAAGCTTATCACATATATACCACAAAAAAACTCAAATATACGAAATACCATCATTATACCATTTTGTATAATAATGTTACACACTTTAACTGAAGCAAGATAGCATCTGAGATTTTTTAATTATACTAAACGTATAAATAATTTAAAATATATATTATACCACATATATACCTTATATATTTCCACTAAATATGTGTATTTTATAANTGTGTATTTTATATTTTTCAGAATATAAGGATGTTATGATAAATATACATGATTTATTTTAATATTATACCATATTATTAATTATACATGATTTATATTTGTATGCATATAATTTTTCATTGAAATAAGAATGGATATATTGAAATATTAATATTCAAAATTAATTTTTATAAGATACTAGTACTTTAAAAAATTTAAGAAGTAAAAATAATGAAATCTTGAATGAATGAACAAGATACATTTAAAATAGAACAAGATTATATAATATACATATACTAGTTTTATATGATGTATATAATAGTAATATACAAGGGATATATATGCTATAAAATAAAATAAATATACGGAAAAGAAGAACAGAAAATTTTAAAATCTATAAGTAATGTTAAATTAAGCTTTTATTGAAATAAATGAACAACATTGTATAAGTTAAATAATTATTAGTGGGGTATAACTTAAAAATTAATAAAATTATAGAACACGTTGAGTGAATGTATATTTCAATTCAAGAAGAGTAGCCATCACTTTAATATTATAGTAATTCATGAAAGTTCAATAACTTATTTGTGGATTGGTAGGATTTATGTATCATTAATTAGTATGCCTATTTTAGTGAAATTTGGAAGAGCGTTTAGTTTTGGATGGAAGTCATCATCTTTCCTTTTATTTTTGCTTAAATTTAGGAATTATTAATTAGCATCCCTATTTTAATGGGACTGAGTGATTTTTCTGTTAGTTAATATAATTATGTAGTTGTCATGTGTGTAAAATATCCTATTGATGTTAGGTCTTTGAAATTTTTTCTTAAATATTTGTTATTTATGTTTTTTGTAACGGTCCAGCCCCAACTGCCAAGTATTGCCCACCCCGGGGGGGCATTTGCAAAAGTGCTCAATAGCCACTTTTAAGGCTCCTATTTAAAATATATTCATAATTTACAGTGTATTTAAATATTAGCCAATTCACCTAAACTTCAGGACTAAGTATCTTGAATTTTTTAGCTGCTAATTTGAAATTCAGGACTAAGTGTCCCGAATTTCTGAATTACTAATTTAAAATTCAAAGATTCAAACTTTTGGAGGCAATTTTCGAACTTTAGGACACGATATCCGGAAGTTTGAACTTTGAGGTTTAAAAACTCTTGAATGTTGTGTCTTGAAGTTTGAGCGAAATTGACTAATCTTTAAATACATTATAAACTGTGGATATATTTTAATCAATATGTTTAAAAATAGCTACTTGGTTTCATTTCCACACAAAACGATTTAATGAATGATTCTCTTAATGATCAACCAATTCATTGTGTTATAGTGTTTGATAAACTAAAACAAACCATTCTGCAGAAGGACAAAGCATCAGTTCTTGCTGCTACAACAGAAAACATAATTTCTTTGAAAGCTCAAGTGGAAGAACTAAGTAAAAGGAATGAAATATTGGAAGCACAACTTTTGAAAAAGAAAGAAGCCTCTGAGTTCACAAGTGGAAGTGGAAAACTAGTTGTTCAGATAATAAATATAAGTGAATCAACATCAGAAGCAAGAATTGTGGAATTGCAAGTTATAGTAAAGGGAAAATGCAGCAAATTGGATTTGGTTATTCGTTTGCTGGAATTCTTGAAAATGGCTGACAATGTAAGCATAGAGTCAGTAGAAGCAAATACTAGGATGGTTCAATCATGTCCAGTTACTCTAGTAACCTTGAGATTAAGAATCCAGGTATTTTATTTTATTTTTGTTTTTTAAGCTATAGTTGCTTTCACTGGTTTTACAGAATTAAATCATTTTATTTGCTCAGAGGATCATGCATATGTGTTGGACATTTCTAAGGATCTAATAATAATAATATTAGCTTTTTATCTGTCAATTTATGTTTGAAGGGGAGCCTTGGAGCAACGGTTGAAAAAGCTGTCTCCGTGTGACTTATAGGTCACAGTTTCGAACAGTGGAAGCAGTCACTAATGTTTGCATTAGGGTATACTGTGTATATCACACCCCTTAGGAAAGGTAGCCTCGAAGCAATAATAAAGTTGTCTCCGTGTGGCCTATAGGTCACAGGCTCAAACCGTGGAATCAGTTACTAATGATTGCACTATGGTAGGTTGCGTACATCACACCACTTAGGAAGAGAAACCTCAAAGCAATGATAAAGTTGTCTCCGTGTGACCCATAGGGCATGGGTTCGAGTCGCGAAAGCAGTTATTAATGCGTCCATTATGGTAGGTTGTGTACACCCCTTGGAAAGGGAAACCTCGAAGTAATAGAAAAGTTGTCTCCGTATGACCTATAGGTCACGGGTCCGTGGAAGCAGTTATTAATACTTGCATTAAGTAATGTTGCGTACATCACACTCCTTGAGAAGGGAAGCCTCGAAGCAATGATAAAGTTGTCTCTGTGTGACCTATATGTCACGGGTTCGAGCCGCTAATGCCTGCATTTAGGGCAGGCTATGTATATCACAACCCTAAGAGTGCAGTCTTTCCCGGTACCATGCGTAAATGCGGGATGCTTTGTGCACCGGACTATGTATATCACACCCCTTAAGATACGGCTCTTCTCGAACCCTACGTGAACGTGAGATACACCAAGCGACCTTTTTTATCTGTATATATTTGTATTTCATTTTTTCCAGAACAAGTGGTATGTTTTAATTTACTGCATACTTGTTACTTTAAACTAACTTTAAGAATGTTGTAGATTTATATATAGTAACATAGTAATTAGAAAATCCTTCGGGGTTGTCCAGTTAGTTTGGAGGGTGGTCATCCATATGGATGACCTGTGATCGAATCCCCCCTCAATGTCTTCTGAGTTGAGTCTGTCGCATAGGGCTTGTCTAGTGCAGTTTACATTCCCTATGTGGTTTGCAGGCTATTACACAAGGGTAGGTTTACCCAGTGCGCACAAAGTGCTCACCACGTAGTGTTCACTCGAAGGGCAGAGGTTGTGGCAGAGATTGTAGCGGCTGCGAGTTTCGCTTCTTACCAAAAAAACATAGTAATTAGAAACTTCAAACTCTTACGAAATCAAACATAATAAATAACACGAAATAGTGAATCCATTTCACTTTATATGACATAACTATTATTTGAAAAGTTAGGATAACTTTGATTTTCTTTGACTACACTATCACTAGAAGGTTACAATTTTGTAGCAGTTTTTGTGTAGTTTCTTTACTGTAATATAAATAAATTTCATTTAAACAGATTAGGAAATCTATGTTCGAGTTGAGTTTTTTCCTTTTTTATTCACTTTTTGGCCTAAATTTTTGTTTAATTTGGTTCTTTCACCAACTCTATTTTTATTATTATGTATTATTTATTTATTTATTTGGCCTATTCTCTTGCTATAGGGAGACGAATGGGACGAATCTGCTTTCCTGGAAGCAGCCAAAAAGGTTGCTGGAGACATGGAAATTATTGGCTAAAATTTCATTCAGCATAAGATAAATTATTGGCTAAAATTTTCACTATCAATGATCAAACAGCCGTAGATATCAACTAGATCGTCAATGTTGTAGTAGTATAGTCTTGTTAATTTAGCGGTGCGCATCTTTGATTAGATACTACAAGTTCGACAGAATTCAATAAGTCTAGCTCGAATTACATGTTATATGTGTGCGTGGAAAAAAGATATACACATATCTAAAGAGCATACTGGACTTTAAATCTTGAATATGTCGATGTTCTAGGTGAAATACATTTAGAAGTTTTGATTTACGGATGTTGAATGATGATAGAAGAATACTGTTGAGAGACTAGCCTCTCAAACTGTGATGTATTTTTGTTTTATATATATGTTATTATCCAATTTACCAAAAACAAAAATAAAAAAAATACTGTAATTCTTTATATGAGTCAATTACAGCATGAGCTTTATAATATTGGAAGTCTTTGTCAATTTTCATGTAACTTTTTTATTTTTTGAAGGACAGTACGTACTATAGAAAGGTAATGAATAAAAAAAGGAATTAATATTGTTCATAATAAACCTTATGGTAAAATGCAAGAATTCATGTGTCGCCGTTCTTGACTTTTTTTTTAACGCCGTTCGTGACTAGAAAGCAAAATTGTGGACCAAAATAACTTATTCAAAAGAAAATGTTTGATCGTTGCATTTGGATTCTGTGGATATGATCAAACGTGAAGATTCAAGAATAACTAATTACTTTTGATCTTACTTTCAAAAACTTAATCCACTGATATTAGTAAGTGTAATTAATACTCCATATCACCTTCACTCTACATATTAGAGAGTTTAACTTTTATACATATACTGAGATAGTATAAAATAATTGTTACACAGTCAAATTACCTAAACTATAATTACGAGTAACTGTAGATAATAAGTAAAACTAATAACTTATTAAAAGATAACTAGAGTAAATGTGAGTTTTTGGCCAAAATTATCTTTCCTAAGTTTAGTCCAAGTAACAGAAACACAACACCCGTTAAAAAACTAACAGCAACATGCGATCTGCACGACTGCATGTGATACTTTTCACCTCCAAATCAGTTTCATCGCCCTCTTCTTTCAAGAATTGTACGGCTGAAAATTACAACTTACACAGTTCCGCTGGATTCAAACAAGACCCAGATAGCATAATAGCTTCAGCAGAACAATGCTTAAAGTTCAAACTCAAAACAACATTATCGGATAACTATGGTGCTCGCACCGAGCTGTCAACTCTCCTTAAAAAAAACTTTATATCTGCGATTGCTACATTTAAGTGTCACTATATAAACTTCCTAGATTTTGATTTTCTCTCATTTGCTTGCATTTTGACAGGCATTACTATATTCACTTGAAGAAGAAAACACCAATTGTCAATGTCGATGCCGGAGGCAAGGGACCTTGTTCCGTTTAGCTCCGACGACATGGTTAGAAGCACTTCTTGAATTCGACATTTACAGCAATGTCGTTCTTAACCATTCCTCCCCATTTTACACTCAACCAATAAACCACCACTCCACCCAATGAAATCAACAACTTTTCAAGCTTAAAACGGAATATTTGGTCGCAAATTTGACTGTTGGAAATTAATATTTTTCGTGCAAAAATATTAGGAAAGAAAATATTAAATGGCGAAAAAAGGAAGATAAACTTGGTCCAAAAAATTATCAATCAGTCAATTGATCGAATCCGAAGCCGAGCCGAGCGACCGACGACAGCGGCGTGAGGCGTGCTCTCTTCTCAACTCTTTAAAAGCTAGAAGAAGTGCTTCCATATATAAGCACAATTTGTTACTTAGACTAAAGGCGCTCAACTTTTGCAAACTTAGAGGACAATTTGGGAAGGTTATATTTAAAGGACAAAGTTAAACTTACCTTTAAAGAAAAGGGATAATTTTGGCCAAAATCTCATTAAATGTAGATAATAAGTGGCAACCAACTTGTTATAAACATTCATTAAACTAGGTATACAAGCTAAATCCTTAAATAAGTTACATGAGATACCAAATAAGTAATCTTTGATTAGATATCATCTTTAGACATCTGAAAAAAAGAGTAAACAACTTGCATGAGTGAAATAACGTTAAACTTAGACCTTAGATTATCACTCTGCTATTCTTAAGGGGTAAAACTTATTTTTACACCACGCCGATGAATGCAACACATATTTTTCATATACATATTGTATCACCTAACCATGATTAAATAAAATATATTCTCGCTGTAATTCTTATCTACTAAGGTTAAATAGCTTAGTTTAGCGCAAACACACGATGCGGGAAAGTAACCACAAGTTACTTCTTCTCATATGGACAAACTACTATATAGCATTCTCCTCCCTATGGGACCAACAGAATGGATTTAAAAAGATGGCATTCTACTGAAAATCAAATAAAAATGTCTGATAAAATAAATCTGCATTTTGTATTGAGTCAACATCCAATTCAAGAAGCATATTTAGGACCAAAAGGAGGAGAAAAGAAAAAGTATCTTACTCAAAGATCAAAGAAATGTCTGAACTACACCTATACTTGAGATTTGTGAATCACCAACAGAAATCAATAAGAGTACAACTACTCCAATCACACTTCCACTTCCTATCTACCCCAGAATATAAAAGAGCTAACTGACACAAGGAAAGAATATAAACCAGAAAATATAGGAAAAGAAAAAGGTCTAAAGATTGTTCTAGCATACTCCACATTTAACAAGTGAACAAAATTGCAGGATCTCTTCTCTAAGCCATCCATCGTTTCAAGACAAATATCACGATTCACGTTGCCAGTTCGTTGCAGCACTACTGTTGTTTGCACTCTGGCGGCCTCTCACCAGCCTGACCACCCGCTGGTGCATGTGCTCTAACACCCCTCTGCGATGAAATATAAATAACTAGCTATGTCTAGTTTACGAAAGAAAAAACGGACGGAAGAAAAAATCAGTAAATGAATTTGTTGTTCATACCTTGCGCACAGCAGATGACTGCAGTTACATTTGAAACAACGGTAAACGGGTTAGCACTCATAGCCATATCCAAATCAAAATTAAGGTGCAAAACATGGAAGTTAATTAGTACCTTTTTCTTGGTATTGGTATCATCTTCATCCTCCTCGTCCTCATCATCTTCATCATCCTCCTCTTCCTCATCTTCGTCATCATCATCTTCTTCATCATCATCATCGTCATCTTCCAGGTCAGCAAAATCATCTTCAGCAGCTTCACCAGTGAACCAAGAAACCGCATGCGAGATAATCTTATCTCGAATAGTTGACCTGCATAGACCATTAGGATATGACTCTTCAGCAACTAAATAGGCAGATTGAAATACAGATACTATAGCACCATCTTCCTTCAGCAATTTTTTATATAAAATCTTCTTTCAGTAATTTATATTCTGGGATGGTACAATATCCACTTCAAATGGAAATTATAATCAAGGTTATGCAAATTTCGTATCAACTTACCCAATATCATAGTCTTGTTCCATCAAACTTTGAAGTTCTTCGGCCTGCCGAAGTAGAGAGAAATGTTATTCAAATTGAGCCCCAAAAGAAAATAAAACACTTGCACGTCTTCATCAATATCCTCAAGAAAATTAACACATGAAGAAAATAAACACTTACAGCATCTTCATCAATATCCTCTTCGTCCTCTGGAACTTGAGGTGGACTAAAGAAGTTGAAGAAACTTTCGCATTGTTCTGTTTTAGTAATAGGCTTGGCATTCTTTGACCCCTTCTTTGGCTTCTTCTTTAGAATCTTTTGTGTCAAACATTTTCCGGGATACCATTCTATCTCGGTCCTACAAATTGTTAGCAATGAGAAGCCATTTTGGAATAAACAGGCTAATAAATCAAATCAAAAAACTTGGCCGCGGATTAATATATCAACATACCCTAAGGCCTTCTCCAGAATCGGTTCATCTTCATCAATCATGTGATACGTTTTAGTCAGTACAGTATTCGTGAAGTAAGGATTAGTATCAAAGAAAAATTCAAGCTTAAATCCCTTTGGATTATCAATCTTGGCCCACTTTATATCCTTGAGAAATTTGAGTGCTCCTTCATCTCGCTCTGTAATCTGTACTTACGGAGTTGGATCATATAAAATAGGTGGATTTGCTAGATACAAGAAATAAAAGCAAAAAGGACTTAGCGATCCACTACTAACCTCCTCAGAGAGCACATCATTATTCTTCATTGCAATGAGCCAGAAATCAGGGACCCCTTTCCCTATCAAAAGCCAATGTCAAGAACACAGATCACAAGAAAGCAAGTACGAACCCTAACTTGATATTTAACGTACCCACTGCATCTTCATCCTCGTCCTGGTCCATCGCTGCTGCCTCGGTCTCTGAGGTGTTGACTTCAACAACTCCGTTCACAATATCAAATCTCTGCATATGTTCAGTTTTTTAGCTAACACTACTAAGAGATACAGGGAGTATAGAATCATGGATGCACGGAACAAGAGCAAATGCAGCGGCATTACAAACTTTTGTATATAGAGGCTGATACAACTTTTGGTATTTGGCTTCAAGCACAGCTCTCTCCTCATAAAACTTTGCCTCCAATTCATCATGCTGAGACTGAATTTGAGAAAGAGAAAGAGAGACAACATCCGAGGTTGCAAAGACAAAAAGTCAGATTAAAAGGCAAGAAACCTGAGATAGAAAGACATCGGAAACTAGCCAGAAACTAATAAACTTACTAAAAAAATAGTGAAAGCTAATTTGGCAGCTAATGCACATAGTACTTTTTGAATCAAGGATACACTTTCCTAAATAACTCACAATGACGCGACTACCCAACAATATATGCTGTGAATCTAGAAGATACTTAACATGCAAAACAATATCTTCACTTCACGTAAAGAAGCAAAATTTATGTTCCACTCCATAACTAAGGGTTCTATATAAAAGTAAAACTAGAGAATCTTCGAATCTAACACTTACCCTACATGGATCTTATCTAAGTACGAAACGAATGACTAAACCTTAATCAAACTGGTTGGCATATAAATGTTAGATGATAAGCCAAAAGCAGATAAGATAAGAAAGATACATATTCAAACGACAGTAGTGTATAATAAACACGTGCCTGAATCTCCTTCAGAACTTCAACACGCTTTCTAACATTGGGTGACAAACATTCAAGCACGTTAGTGGGCTTCCCCGTGATATCCTGAAGTTTATTCTGCAAAACGATCAAATCAATAAAATCACCGTAATTACTTAAACTAAAGAAAACCACCAAACAAAACAACTCACCTTGAGAGCATTAACAAGGTCTTCTCTATCCCCAGCACCCAAAGCTACAAAACAGTTTTAATGAGAAATTCAAATACATAACACTAAAAAAACAAATGATCAAGCAAATAACTGATTAAAGCCAGCAAAAGTTTCTGCTTTTAAATAACTACTATTATGTATTAAGGGTTTGAGCCCCATCTAAAGTTTCATCTTTTAAGGAAGCTCAGAATTTTCACAAGCAAATACACAAAAGTTATAAAGTGTCTTGTGGATCGGCTTTAACTCTACCACATGGTCCCCATCAAAAGTTTCATCTTTTGAAGAAACCCAGAAATGTTTACTTGCACATATTAGTAGTAGTAGTAACATTTTATATAAAGCTTTTAACTCTTTTCACGTCCATTAAGAAAATAATAAATATAAGGTTTAATTTACTAAGTTTCCCCTATTAAATGTTTTTTGAGAATTGAGCATTATTAAAAAGAACTACTACTTCTTTAATGTTAACGGTATAGTTGGAAACAATTACTATCTCCGGTCCACAATAAGTGATTTTTTTGACTTGATTTTTCCAGATTTCAAGAATGAATTAATTATTTTTTTCCTACATTGCCAGAGTAAATAATAAATAATGTTGGAGTATGTGTTTATGTGAAGAGATAGTAAAGGTTAATATGGCCAATTTCATTGCTAATTAATGTTAAAAAATGTATTTATTAATATGTGTGAAAACATACAAAAATCACTTNCCAATTAAAAGCATTTTGCTTTGAAGAACCAAATTTCACAAGATACACAGAAGTAATTATATGAAGTTTTTTTTAATTAAAAAGTTAAACTCATTGTATAAACCCTATTAAAAGTTTTCATCTTTTAGACAAATCCAGAATTTTCACTAGAAAATTACACATAAAAGTAAGCTATAAAGTGTTTCCTGTATAAGGTTTAACTTTACCCCATCAAAAGCTTCATCTTTTAAAAAAAAAAAAACCGATATTTTCACTAGCAAATTACACACAAAAAAAACAAGTTTCATCTTATAACGAAACTCAGAAATTTTTACTTGCAAATATACATAGAACTGAGTAAATAAAAGAGCGTTGTGGATAGCGTTTTACCAGCGGTGAGATCGGCAACGTTGAAGTTGTCTTTGGTGTTGCTCATTATATTAATGAAGAAGAAGCAGAGCGAAAATGGAAGAAAGTAGAACGCAAAGCAAAAACCCTAAAAAACAGGGGACGAACAGAGAGAGAGAGAGACGGGGGGCTTTAAACTCTTTTAAAGGTGTTTGGGCCAAGTTCAAAACCTGGCCAAAATATTACTCGATGTATAAGTCGAATTTGCTGAATGTTATAAGACGTACATCTCAAATGCGTATTATGAGTCGCATTTCGCAACCGCGATAAATCGCAAATGCAATTTCTAAGTCGCATTAGCGCATATCTGATGGAAGCTCTTTTCTACGACGGTATAATCAATAATTGTCGATCTCTTTAATGAATGCACAAATTCACTTATACTATGTTTATTCAATAGTACTTTATCAGTTGAACCAGCTGCGGAATCAGGATTTAAATTTTATGGGTTCGGAATTCTAATCATTTTTAAGTTACTGAGTTTTAAATTAATAATTTGTACATGTTTAATGAATTTCATCAAATAAATACAGAATTTGAACCAGAGCGTTCGGCGGAACCCATAACTCGCTCTCTAGCTCCTCCCGTGAGTTGAATGTTTTTGGAGATTTAGTAAATATGTATATAGGAATTGTAACTCATTAAACTATGTACAGGAGAAACCTCTCTTTTTTAGAAATAAATCATTTTCTATTGGAGAATGATACATGAAGAGCTAAATTTTTAAAAAGAAAATTTATATGTAGCGAATAAGGATACAAATGAGAATTAAGAACATAAAAAAAAAAAAAAGTCAAAAATTGAGGGGTGGCTATTAGAAAACCTATATCGCATTCAATAGATGTGACTTGTAAACCTCATTCAGTAATTGCGACTTATAAGTTGCATGTAGCATTTGCGATTTACAAATTTTATTTGGCTGATGATATGTGTAATAACGACTTTTGTCTATTCTTTATGTTATACTTTATATTTAATTCACAGTCTACTTATGAGTTTCACATATTTATACTGTAGTATTTTCTTAGAAATAACACACTACTGAAATTGTTAAGCCAAAAATACACATCTTAGGGAAAAAATTTGTCCACACAATTTCTCTAAGAAAACCTAACATTTGTAGTCTACGGATATCAATTCTAAGGTCGTGTTTGCATTCAAGAAAATTATACAGCTAATTAATTAATTCCCCTTTCACTCCCCTTCTTCTCTTTTATTTTTTCTTTTAGTTTTTTTTCGAAAGAAAAAGAGAGCAACAAAAATTAGCTAGAAGTCAAGTGAGATAATGAAATCTTAACATCTTAAACAACACACAAAGAAATGCTAAAAAGGCATAAATGCATGCCTTTAGAAACGAGACCCTTGATTAAAGGTCAAGTTAGCTAATAGCTTATTTTGAGAAATTAGCTTATTTTGAGAAGCGTTTATTTTCAAAAATATTTTTGGTGAGAAACAATTTTTGTTTGGTTAATTAATTTAAAAATCACTTTTAAGCAGTAATAATAGCCTGTTTGGCCAAGCTTCTCCTCGTCACAAAAGTGCTTTTTTTCTCAAAAATCACTTTTTTCTCAATTTGAGGTGTTTGGCCAAGCTTTTTTAGAAAAAAAAAGTATTTTTAGGAAGAAGCAGAAGCAGAAGCAGAAGCAGAAAAAAGTAGTTTCTCCTCATAAGTAGGAGCAGGAGTGGTTTTGACTTTTCTTCTTACTAAAAATACCCTTAGTAAAATATGGTATATATCAAAATAACCTTATTTATTTTAAACACAATACTTAGAATTAGAGATTATATTAGTGAACTCTCATAATGTATAAATATTTCTTTTTATTTTTAGGATAGCCTTCTAATCTATGGTGACTTTTGAGATGAATGCTTTTATTATTGTTAGATGATTTTTTGATATATTTAAATCATCTTGAAAGAATTAAGTATTTTTTAATTTTATTTTCATGTTTTACTTAAATAAAATGAAAATTTTAATTAATAATAAACGTTTGAGATTATTTATTTATTTATATAATATTAACTATTAAATAAATCTCTTTGTTTCCTTATTCATAATTTGATATTTAAAAGCGCTTTTTGAAAAGCTTGGCCAAATACAAATTATTGCTCAAAAGTGCTTTTCAGATTGATTAGGCAAACACAAACTGCTCTCCAAAAATATTTTTTCGAAAAACACTTTTGAAAAAAGTACTTTTCAAAATAATCATATTTTTCTAGCTTGGCCAAATAGGCTATAAGTGTTTGGCCAAGCTTTTAAAAAGTGCTTCTAAGTGTATTTTTCTCAAAAGTTATTCTCAAAAAAGTGTTACTAGGAAGAAACTACCTTTTTCTATTCCTCCAAAACTGCTTCTGCTTCTACTCAAAAACACTTTTTTTTTTCTTCTAAAAACTTGGCCAAACAATTCAACTTTTTTTTAAAAAAAAAGTGTTTTTCAGATTAGAGAAACAGGCTATAAATCATTAGCTACCTAACAAATGTATTCTACGGATATCAATTCTATCAACTGTCAGCAAGGCCGTGTTTGGATACAAGAAAATTATGCAGCTAATTAATCAATTCCCCTTTCCCTCACCTTTCTTCTCTTTTATTTTTTCTTTATAGCTTGTTTTTTTTTTCTTTTGAAAGGAAAATAGAGTAACAAAAATGAGCTAGAAATCAAGCGAAGTAATAAAATCCCAACAACATCTTCCGCCTTGATTAAAGGTCATATTAGTTAAATCATCATCTATCGAATTAATTCTATATAGCTTGTTGTTTGTAGTAAGCATGTGTTAGAACTCTCGTACGAATGTCTAACATGTTAAAACTAGTCAAATTACACTATGCATGTTGATTTTTTTTACTTTTTACGCCATGACAATATCATATTATCTTTGCCAACAACGATAATGGGAAAATGCAATAAATTTGAGACCAGTTATTATCATTTAAAGATAACATAATAGTTTAGTGGTTAATTTCATGACATAAAAAATGTATCAAGATCATTATTCGAACTCCATGGTATTGAAAATATAAAAATTCAAAGTAATTTACAGTAAGGAAAATTCAACAGGGTATTTCACCCCCCCCCCCCCCCCCCCTCCCCCGGGTCCCTTTTTTCTGTTGGTTCTATTAACTAAGGCGATTGCCAAAATTGAACAAAGAGTGGATACTCTTAAAATTAGGTGGAAAAAAAAGAAACGTTCTTTTGACCTCCTTAAGCAAATAGGTTAAGTTATATATATCGACATTATAAGAATTTTTACCAGTAACAATAAAATTGTCTTCATGTGACCTATAGGTCACGGGTTCGAGCCGTGGAAGCAGTCACTAATGGCTGCATTAGGGTAAGCGGTCTACAACACACCCATTGGAGTGCCCCCCTTCCCGGACCCTATGTAAACGCGAGATGCCTTGTGCACCGGGCAACCCTTTATTTTTAATTTTATACTATCAATATATAACAAGCTTTTTACTTTATTTTTAGTATATATAAATTCATTTGCTATGGGTCTGGGGGTAGTGTGTACGCAGACCTTACCCCTACCCTGGGGTAGAGATGCTGTTTCCGATAGACCCTCGGCTCCATCCCTCCAAGAACTCCCCACCTTGCTCTTGGGTGAATCGAACTCACAACCTCTTAGTTGGAAGTGGAGGGTGCTTACCACTAGAGCAACCCACTCTTGTCAAATAAAATTCATCTATATGAATAATATATCACTAATACAGGAATAATAATCTTTTTTACTGCTAAAATATCAGTGTGTGTCAACATATCCGAAACAAATTGTCTCACAAGAATACTGAAAAATACTAACTTTACATGCACAAACATCTCAGCACCTATATTTTCCAGATGAAAGGCACCAAATAAGCAAGTTCAATAATCAATCTTTTGCATGGAAAGTAGGTAAATTTTTTGTAAAAGGATTAAAAGCAGCAGGAAAAAGTGGCTAAACTTGCAAGATCAATGTCCCAGTGACCCTAAGATGAGCATATCTTTGTCAACTTCTTCCGATAAACATCGATCACCAATCCGTTTTACTACGTTGTGTAGCAATGCTAGATTATTTCTTCTTTGGATGAATTGAGTGAACTAGGGCCTCGATTTCTTCCTTGGCTCGTTCGAATATATTTGGACCTTTAACTTCACTAATCGGTGTATTATCATCAATGTCATCACTCCTTCCATGAGTTTCTTTGTGATGACGATGAGGAGATTTTTCGCTGTGCAGATCTGCTCCTATCTCTTCCTCGACTCTCTCGTTTTGATTAGGCATCTTTTCTTTGTTCGCTGCTTAAACAGAACCACAGTATGATCAAAGGATGAATACAGATTCGAACTTCTAACCAAAAGCGTGACGTTAAAGATGACTTTTGCATACTTGGTAGAGCCAGTGGCAGAACCAGAAATGTATATAGGGGGCAGTTGAAATTTGAATCTACGACCTAAAGCAAATTTAAACCCCCTTCACTACTAAATTTTGAATTCTTCTTTACGTCAATGGGATTCAACAACTCATATGTAGTCAAAAAGGTCATTTTTACTCTATTTGCACAGTGTAATTTTCCGACGAATGGGGTCAGTTTGAACCCCATTCACTCTACTTAGTTCAGCCGCTGGGTGGAGGATACGTAGAAAGTAAAGAAAGGGAAAACTTCGGTAAGTGGTTAATTAGATGGGTTCTTTTTTATATTTGAGAAAAAAGGGAAAAACTACAGTAAATGACACAGATCACATACATGGAACAAACACCATGAAAATTCTTTCAATTCTTGAAATTGTTTCCAAATGAGGAAAATTTTAGCAATACCGGATAGTTTATAATAATTTGATACCACTAGCCAGTCATTTTCAAATAAATCTAGGTCTCCATTTGGTTGGAAGAAAATGGCTTTTGCCCAAACATGGTTGTCATAGAAAACGTTCTAGTAGAAAGAGGACAATTTTGGCTGGTTTGATTATGTTCGTAGTATTTGATGGAAGTGAAAGAGACCTCCCGAAGGCATAATTGTCGGAGTGTTTTTAACCACAACTAAAACTTTTTGCCACCGGAATGCTTATGTATACCTTTAGATTACAGCCAAAAACTCCATCTCTTCTATGAATTTTATCATTTAGATCAGAAAAGTCAGAAGTTTCGATCAGAATGTATTGAATTTGGAAAAGCATTGATTCAAGTTAAAAATGATTTTGACTTAAGCCACTAATTGAAATAACTACTTCTGAGACAGCAAATGTTATCAGTTTAAAAGCTCATACCAAAAAATAGGTTGACCAAACAATGTCTAAGGACAGAAGAGGGTAGAGTCATTTTAATTGGACTTTGATACTTTTTCCAACAAGACTCTATTGATAATAGCCATTTCCAGCACCAAAGTTTGCATCATTTCACTTTTCTGTTTAAGAAATTCTCTGTCACTTAAAAAAACAACAGAAATTACCCATTCGAGGGGCTCTGAAGGTTAAATTGGGGTTACGTTTTAGTACTTGTAGTCAAGTTCAAGGAAAACTGTAATCTTCATATGAAATAGTTTTGAAATTAAGCTATTTCTCTCCGTGAAAGTAAACAGTTCTCGCTCTTTTCTACAATATAAGGTCAAATACCAGAAATTAGACAAACTGTTCTGCAGACATTTTTATGCCGAGGCAGATGAAGAATAACTGGGCAGTGAAAGAAAAATTTGCAATATTGTCACGTAATTCCCTAAATGAAATAGGAAAAAGTGTAATCAGTTTGAAGAAAGGCAGCAAAAGCAGGTATATACACACACACACAAAACAACGACAACAACAATAACAACTCAGTATAATCCCACAAGTGGGGTCTGGGAGTAGTGTGTATGCAAACCTTACCCCTACCCTGGTGAGGTAGAGAGGCTGTATCTGAAAGACCCTCGGCTTACACACAAAAAAAAACATCAAAACTTAAAATATATCTAAGGTGACATGAGTCACACAACGCTGTTCATTAATCACTTGTTAAGTGATTATAATCACGAATCATTGAAGTTATAACAATCCGTTAAAATGAATCGTAGAGTTCATACCTGAAAGAGAATCTGGATCATGTGTCTTCAAATCAGCTGTTGTACCGTAAGTCCTGCATATCATCAACAAAATAGCGCAAAATTAACTAACTAATTAAATCCTCAGAAGCATTTATTCTCTATTTTTGCAAGAAAATCCTGTTCTTGAAACCTGTTGTCGCCGTCTGAAGTTGAATCATGACTGTGATTTTCCTTTTTTGGATGTATTGCTTGAACAATAGCCTCGATTTCCTCCTTCGCTCTCTCAAACACGTTAGGTGCTTTCACATCGTTAACGGGTGTGTTCTCATCAATATCATCGCGCAAACCGTGAGTTTCTTTGTGATGGTGATGTGAGTGTTTTTCACTATGCAGTACTGCCTCAAACTCTTCTTTAACTCTCTCAAACACATTAGGCGCCTTTACATCTTTATCTGCCAATATTAGAATATCAAAATTAGTCCATTATTCGACGCAAATCTTAAACCCCAACCACCTATTCCATACTCCTGAATGAATGAAACTGTGAAAGAATTTGGGCATCCAACTCAAAATCTTAAGGCAATTATGTGGATTTAGCATAGATAATATTTGGAATAATTGAAGAAAAAATTTCACTGATAAGTGTTTGTTTTACAATCTTGTCCATTAATTCAACTTTAAACTTGAAAAAAAGAATTTGAAATTTAAAAATTTGGTCTCACGAGTATTTCAGATGAAATAATGGGTTTCCACTTACAAACCTCAACTTTTTTTTTCTAAGTGAAATTCTTGTTCAAACACAATTCAACCTAATACTCTTTTTCAATTTCAACTTCAAATAATTTTTTTTATCATCCAAACTTTATAAGCAGTCGGAAAACTTAAGTCAATGGGTGGAGTGACCGGAAACTACTATAAGCTCTTTTTTATGTCTTTTATCCCCTGAGTTGGAATATCTCGTTTGGCTTAACTGATTGAAAGTAGCTCATAAGCATAAGTGTTTAAAAATACTTTTAGGTGTTGAAAACCATTTTTTAAGAGTTGAAATTGATTTTATACACAGACAATTATGTGTTTGGATAAAAGTGTTAAAACTGATAATAAGCGGGTAATGTATTTGGTTTCAGCACTTTTCTAGTTAAAATGGTCGAAATGCTTTTAAAGATGTTTACATAAAAAAATAAAAAAATAAAAAAAACTAATAAATGCAAGATTTTTGTTTCAAATTACTTCAGATGCAAATTAGCAATGGGGAGAAGCGCAAAGGAAATGGAATAAAGTAAACGTAAAAATTTTGGTTAACTCAAATGTGCTTATAAACTGAAAAGCCAAAATTTTATTAGCTGATTTTGGCTTATAAGGGCCCGTTTGGCTATACAAAATTTTTACTTTTTTCCGGAATAAGTGTTTGGCCATGAAATTCCAAATCCAACTTTGAAGTTAATTCCGAAATTTGAAAAACACCAAAAAGCTATTTATCACAATTTTCACTCCAAATCACTCACATAAATTCAAAAATAACTCCAACTTCTATTCATGTTCAAACACAACTTCAATTTCCAAATATCATTTTCAACTTGAAAAAAAAATACTTTTTTCCGGAATATCACAATTCTTATGTCCAAAAGCCCACTAAGGGGCCGTTTGGCCATAAAAAAAATCACTTTTTTTTTGTAATCAATATTTGGCCATAAAATTCCAAATCCAACTTGAAGTTGAATTCCGGAATTTGAAAAACTCCAAAAAGCTATTTTTCACAATTTTCACTTCAAATCACTTACAAAATTAAAAAACAATTCCAAATTGTATTCATATCCAAACAAAACTCCAATTTCCAAATACCATTTTCAACTGAATTTTTTTTTCCCACTTTTTTCCGAAATTTCACAATTCTTATGTCCAAACGCCCATTAAGTATTTGGTTTATAAATACTCTTTTGGTGCTTTTCAAATGTGTAGATAAGCCCAAAAAAATGTTTATAAATTGACGCTCTACATAACTCGAATCATTGAACACGGGGAAATGATTGATGATTAAATGAAAAGCTTAATATTTAATAAATTGGGGTTCTAAAGTTAATCGAAATCAAACTCTCATTTGTTTGCAAAATCCAAAAGAAAATTAAAAGTGCGAAATGGTTACCTGAAGAGGAGGTTGCCGGTGGTTGTGATTTTGCTTCAGACATTGGTGAAGAAGGAGACTACTGATTATCAACTGGAAATTTCTACAGTGAATCTTGATCAGATTATTTGAGATAAGTGATTTTCGATCAGAAGTGTAGTTGTCTCTGATGTAAGTCCGACGTGGAGAGAATAAGAGAATCAGACATAATAACATATGCTTGGTCGGTTTATTGTTTTTTGGGACCAACTAGATTTTCCTTTTTTTTTCCTTGGTAAAAAGCAAAGGTAAAGACAGGAAAGTTGCTTTCGTTGTTTTATCGTCCCTTTACTCAATATATCCGTCATGCTAAAAAGAAGGGTTTAGGAAATATAGGGGCTTTGTTTCAGGATTTTCAGATCAAAACTCTTTTATCTTTTTCAAGATGCTTTCTCAGCAATCTTTTCTCATCCTAAATAGATTATATATTTGCCAACATAATCTTTGAGGTATCTCAAGATCCTATAAAGACAGTATAGCCCGCTCTTTGAAATAACAGTCGGCAAATATATTCTTTATATTTAATATATATTCTTTA